GGTTTCTCGGAATAGTAAAGTCTATAAAAGGCCACTGACTAGCGCATGAATTATTATATTTGGATTGTTGGAAGATATGATATATAAGTGAAACTGAAAAAATTGACTGTCTGATTTGAACATTCTTCTTGACTCTTCTTAATGAATTAAAATGAAAATAATAAATCATCCCCAAGGTGATTCGCGGTCATCCAGTATTCGAACTCTGGAGAATATTGCTTCTGCAATCTATCTGGCGACTAGAAATCCTGGGATTCCCTCTAGGTTCTTTTCCAGTAACCAAGAGTCTACCTTCTAAGCGTCATTTTAACGATTTTGCCGCTAGGAACAGGCAACAAATGGAAAAAGCACAACTCAAAAAGGCGGGCCAATAGGAAACCATCATTGTACGAGGGGGACCCAGGCGGACTGATGGAGATGTGTCTCGGTAGGTAGCCTGAGAGATCCACCAAGGTGTTCCCCTTGAGCGTCGACTAGCCCTGACATTTTTACCTGATCTGACTATTTCTGTCGAAATATTCGAGCAATACAAAATTGATACAGACCCTGAGCTAAAATCTACCTGACACACGTAAAAGGATGGCATTTATTGAAGCAGCATTGGTCTTAGCTACAGATCTAATGGACAAATGGGCTAAACAGAGTAATTGATATGGGTGAAATTGCTCCATTGCGGTTCGCATTGCCCTTCACTGCTCTTTCGCGCGGTTCTCGAAACCAGGGTGAGACGGGCTGGTTCACTCTGACGAGACACTAATGATGTAACGTGATTCTTCATGCGACGCTGGCCGCTTTTACCAGGATTAAGTCGAATTTGCCATCTTGGGTGTCCACATACAAGGCGCTACTATCGGATGACAGGCAGATGCTGAGAAGATATCCCTCCACAGTTTTCAACGTGAAATGACGCCCGCGAGCCATTGCTTCCTGCTGGACTTCAGCCGATCCTTTACCCTTCTAGTCAGCTAACATCACATTGATGGGCAGAAAATCTTACTTTTGGCTTCTTCCAGCTGTTATTCGAGAGTCTTATACAGTTCCACCAGGAAACGCTGATAATCTTGGATCGATCGATATGTATCCATGAGGCTAATGTGGTAATGACAGATCAAGTATGGAAAGGATTATGTCGTGTTTGGTCAATTATTGTCGGGTTGCAAAAGAGTATGCAACACTGTAAATTCAACACTGAGGTGGCTCAAAAATATACCAGTGAAAAAGTGAAATCCCCCTAGAGTATAGAAAAGAGCTTTGAGGCTAAAGAAGTTCCTCGCCAGAGAGATCTATGTCACATAATATAATCTAAGTTATTTGCAAAGATATCCAGGCACACACGTATCTATCAATCGATTGAGTGGTTTTCCTTGTTGTTTGCTTCCCTGGTTCGTTTGTATAACTTTGATTCCGGAAGTAGTGGGCAGTCGTTGTGTAACTCAAACAGATTCATGAGACATATGTGCTGGATCCACCCACATCGCGATGCTGCAAGCACTTGGCTTCGCCTCTGAATGGGTACAGGCATCGTCACCAGCGACAGCCATGTTCTCGTGGCTGATACACTAGTCAAAGTGGTCTTGTTGGAAACATATGCTAGTCAGTTGCAATCTGCATTGGGGACTTGCTCTGTCAGCTGTTGGACGGATTAGAAGCCTACCAGGGATTCTGTGACCCTCTCTCGATCTCTATAATGATTTCTGTAAAGAATTGGCCATCGTAATCCATGACTCTGCAACTGTTGGGACTTTTCTATCACACTCGATATAATCGCAAGAATTGAGGGAAATCATCGGAGAACAAAGAGCATAGTGACAAAATCATGCTTGACTTGTTGCAGATTCGACCGCCCTATTAGACTCAATGCGGCCACTCCGGGAATAACGAGCTGATGATATCTCCCGAATATGTGGGCCACTCCCTCAAAGTCAAAATGCCAAACGTGTTCTCATTGGTTATGGTGAGTCGACCAAACAAAGAAAATAGGGCCACAAACAAGGTCGATGGAGACTACCATGCCAATGCTATCTGCCTGGTAACGTAGGCGACTGGTTAGTCGATGTTATCGCGACGTGGTTCTAGTACGAATTAATGCCAAAAAAAAATCGATGTCGAAAATGTATCAATGTTGGTTCGAATTGTTGTGACATTCTGGTCTCTGCCACGGAGTTGCGCAGACTGGTTTTTTGAGAGAATTTTCCAAACACGTCTCGTCGCCTAATGCTCGAAACTCGAAGTGGAATGCGAATGATTCCGCTTAAGAACATGCTATGTACGACCAGCGCTGTTCCAAAATTCTTCTTAGGATCCAGCGATCTAATTGTAGTGACAAGCTTCGCATGAATCTCGACTAAGACAGTGACTCAGTCACGCCCGATCTGATGTTTCGATCGTGAAGCCGAGATTCGGGGGGATAAATCCAGATTCTAATTCAAAATTGAAAGGCATGATCGCTGACATGAACGCAGTCAACCACGGACGTGTGGTGAGTGGGGAGGTATTAATGTTATACTCCAAACAGCTTTGATAACTATTTCCTTTACTTATAAAATATTCTACATACTATCAAACTGGAGTTCTCGATGCTAAAGAGCGTGCCTCGAGAAATTTGGGACCGTATTTTCGACTTTCGACAACCGATCCCATCTCTTGGTTCGTCCGAATATAGCCAATGTCACATATTGTGGAATTCGATCTTCAAGAGCGATAAATGGATCCAGAAAATGATACGGATCCAGGGCAACCCGTTGCTCTTCGGTTCAATGCTCGACAAAGTCGGGGAGAAAAAGATCCACATAACAATTCACGGTGGAGATAGAATCACGGACCCTAATTATCGCTGGGAATTGTTCTTGGAGTGCCTACACGT